AAAGCTTGAATACAAGCCCATTGTGCCAGACATTATCAAACGCTTTCTCAACGTCTAACAAGGCCATGGCTGTGGACTTGGATACAGCTTTGTTACTTCGGATGTTATTCATCACCCGCACTAGCTGGTGATTGGTGGAGTGCTCCTTTCTGAACCCAAACTGTTCCGGAAGGAGAATGTTATTTTCCTCTACAAACTTGAGCAAACGATTGAGAATGAGTTTCTCGAACAATTTGCTCAGCGCTGAAAGGAGGCTGATTGGTCTGTAGCTTGAAGCTAGCGTTGGGTCCTTCCCGGGTTTGCGGATAGGTATGATTTTCGCTGTCTTCCAGATACTTGGAAAGTAGTGCAGTTCCAAGCATCTGTTGAAGACAGCAGCCAGCAGAGAGTGAACCTTCATGCTGAGATTTTTCAACACTGGGTTGAATATTCCGTCAAACCCGGGGGCCTTCATGTTTTTGGTGCATTTCAGCGCTGAGCAAATCTGTTCCACTGTGATTCTATCCTCCTGAGGGATGGCACAAGGAGAGGAATCAAGGTTGAGTACGCATTGCTCAACCTGAACTTCGAGCGGACTTTGGATGTTGGAGCCAAGTAAGTGCGATTTGGCAATATGCTCACCAATCGCATTTGCTTTCTCCTGAGGGGTGATTATGAGCCGATCGTCATCATTTTCATCTTTGAGTGGTGGAATGGGTTTAGGGTGCGTCTTTAAGACCTTGGCAACTTTCCAGAATGGTCTGGAGCGGTCGTCCAGATTCTGGACAAGCCGCCCGAAACTTTCGTTCCGGAGTGAGACCATTCTGTTCAGATTGGCCATTTCACGTTTCCTCGCTAGATCTCCAGTCCTCTGAAACTGGCGTCTACGAACATTTCTCAGGCGAATTAAGAGTTGGGTGTGGGAATCAATGGCAATAAACTTACCCCTTACAGGAACTCGTTGGACGCACGCCTCGTCAGCAACGGTTATGGCTTGGTGGAGTCCTTCCAACGCTCGGTCGATGTCCTCCACGGTATCAAGCGACGGGTTGTCGATGATGTGCCTGTCTACCACGCGTCCAAACTGGGCCCAGTTTACGCGATGGTAGTCCTTGCGCAGGCTTGGAGCAGGAGCTACGTTGTATCTCAGTTCAGCCACCACCGGTTGATGGTCGGAGCTGAGTTCGTTTAAGGCTACCGGCTTGGACAAGCCGGTATTTGAAAGAAACAGGTCTAGCGTCGATGGGTTGCCTGTCGGTGAGATGAATGTTGGCTCGTCCGAGAACCAAACGGAGTACATCCCATGCTGCGAATGGTCGAACAGCAGACGACCGTTCTGGTTCTGCTGGTAGTTCCGCCAGGCCTCATGGCGAGAATTCAGATCTCCTCCAACAACGAAGTGGGAACCGGTACGGGTGATGGTGGACAGGTCTTTCTTGAATTTAGCCGCTAGTCCGCTGCTGGCGGCACACTGTCGAGGGCAGTAGACGGCGATGAACTGGACGTATCCAGTCGACGACTCTACCTCCACACCAAGGGCCTCGATGATAGAGGTGCGGATATGGGACAGAGTGTGGTATTTTATTCCTTTCTTGACGACGACCGCAACACCACCCCCCCTGGAGCTGGTGCGATCAAGCCGAATAATGTTGTGGTCAGGCAACCAGAAGCTGTCGCCGGACTTTAGATGGGTCTCGGTTAGAAGGCCCACGTCGATGCTGTGCTTGCGGAGGAAGTCGGCAAGCTCAATCTCTTTTGCTCTTACAGAGCAAGCATTCCAGGTGACGATAGTTAGCGGTTTAGACGCCATACTGGATGATGAACTTACCGAGCACCTGGATCTGTTCGGGCTTATTGCGGCACTTACGAAGAGCACCGGACATGTTGACGAAAATTTCCATCAGTTCATCCGCTGAGAACAGATCGGGGTTGTTGTTTTGCGCTGTTGGTTGTCTCCAGAATCCAGGGGGGGATGGAGAGCTTTGGCCAGCAGAATCACCGGAAGCTTCTTGAGGGGGGCGGGTTGCACCCGCGAATTCGCTTGCCTTTGCTGAGGAGCACGAAGAGGCGGAAAATCCTCCGTCCTGAATGCTGGGGTTTTGTCCTTCTTGCGTCCTGGTTGATTGTTGCTTGACGCCTGCTTTCGGATGCGTTTGAAGTCCTCGCGTTTGGAGCACTGTCTGTCGGAACCTTGATGTGCACCACCACAGTTAGCGCATTTTATCGCCACGGCTCCATCCGCAGGGCAGTTGGAAGTGGCGTGTTCTTGAGCGCAGTTGCTGCAGCGTGGCTTGATGTTGCAGTTGCGGGTACCGTGTCCAAAATTGAGGCACCTCATGCACTGCGTTACGTCACGATGGCCGCCACGGTATGGCTCCCACCGTACGATGATGGAGTAGATCGATCGGATGGCTTGTAGCGCATTGAGCGTCACCGTCCCTTTCTGGAAGTGCACCAGGAAAAGACAATCCGGGTACGTCTTCACGTTTTCGTCTCTCCTTGTCATTCGGAAGACAGCGATTGGGGCAAGCTTGTACCGGTTGATTTCAGCTTCGACCATCTTGGGGTCGAAGTTTGGTAGACCCCTGATGACTACCTTGAAGGGCTTCTCACCGGGGATGTCGTGCGTGAAGAATTCCGCCTTGGTATCCTTCAGATATTTCACGGCCACTTCGTACTCCGCTTTTGTTCGGAGCATCACCTTGGTGCCGATCCTGCCGAGCTTAAACTCAGCTGCAACGCCCAGCGATGAAAGATCGCCAATCAGCGTGTTGAGTGGGACTTGCTTCACCACCAGTGGAGGAAGCTTCATTTTTGCTGCACTCGGGCTGGCAGCAGTTTCGTTGTCGACGGCGTCGCCGAAATCACCAATGATGCTGACGTTCGTCGCGGTGGCATCGTCCCGTCCACTCGCACCATCGGACTGGGCTTGATTTTTCTTCCTCTTCTTTGACTGCTTCACCGTGGCTGAGGTGGTATTCCCTACATCGGTGGGAAGAGTAGCGTACCTATTCGAAATAGGTACACTCAAGCTACCCTCACCGCTGTTCTTCTTCTCCGTTTTCTCTTGGAGTCTGCTCCGGGAGCGCTGTCTTCCCATCACAAGAAGCGACCGACACTACTGACGACGCGATTAAACTGCGAATGTTTGGAACAAACTAGAAACTTTAGAACAACTCGACAGAGCGAGCAAAGACCGAACTGTACTGCTTGCTACTAATCAAATGCGGAGTGACGAACACACTTATAATTGCAAATTTTGAAGAAATTCTTGGGCTGAACACACAATCTCGATTTATGAGAATCTACCACCACTACATATCCTCGGATATGTGTCTTCCTTGTTATACTCCAGACCGTGCTCACTTCACCAATCGCAGTTCCTCGATTGAATATGATCTGTCCATGAAACAAGTGATTCACGGGATTGCAGATCAACTTCGAACTATTATTATCCCACGTATTTTTACTGAAAAGTACCAACACGTCAATTGCGTGAAAATATATTTTACAGACGGGTCACGTCTCAATGGATCCACTGGCTTCGGTGTCTTCAATGAAAACTCTAGCGCCTTCCGCAAACTTCAGGAACCTTGTTCCGTTTATGTTGCTGAGCTGGCAGCAATCAACTTCGCTTTGGGGATGATTTCCAACATGCCCGCAGACCATTACTTCATCTTCTCGGATAGTCTCAGTTCTATTGAGGCTATTCGGTCGATGAAACCAAGTAGGCACTCATCTTATTTCCTTTCAAAGGTAAGGGAGCAGATGAGTGTGCTGGTCGAAAGATCATATATGATTACCTTTGTATGGGTCCCCTCACATTGCTCAATCCCAGGCAATGAGAAGGCGGACTCTCTCGCAAAGGTGGGCGCGCAGGAAGGCGAATTTTATGACAGGCAAATTTCACACGATGAATTTTACCATTTACCATTTACCTTTCGAGTTGGCAAACCGATTGGGACAATGGAAATCTTGGACGGTGGTTACATTCAATTATTCCTAATGTTTCTTCGAGAGCGTGGTTTAAAGGCTTGGGCTTAAGTCGTGACTTTATTCGCGTGATGAGTAGACTTATGTCCAACCACTACTCGCTAGATGGGCATCTCAATAGAATAAACCTCGTGGACAGCAACATATGTCGGTGTGGAAACGGTTACGACGACATCGATCACGTAGTTTGGCAATGTACGGATAATGACGCCGCCAGAGAGCGACTTTTGAATACCCTCGAGGCCCAAGGAAGACAACCCTATATTCCTATCAGAGACGTGTTGGGTACCCGCGATCTCTGCTATATGCAGTCGATTTATGTGTTTCTGCAAATGTCTAGTATAAGAATTTAATTCGTTTGTCTTTTGTATCTCTTTATTAGTTTTTGTTTGTCTTGTCCCCCGTCTCGATGAGTCTCATCGTCGCCCACTGGTCACCATAGCCGGTCGAACTCCAGACGAATCTAGAACCACACTACCGTTCATACTGGCGACATCACTCTGATGAGACAACGAAACCCTACCCAAGCTCCTCCCATTTTCCTATCCTTCGACAATGTACCCCTCTAACCTCGAGTAAGCCGCGAGTAATCGGCCCGACTCCTACTAGACATAGAATTAAGTGAATTTTGTTACAAACAAAGAACAATGAATTATCGGCTCCGTAAAGCTAACGCGATTGAGCCTTACAAATAAACGAACTAGATAAAAAAAAAGAAGCATGATATCCCGAACCGGTTGGGTGGTTGTATTTCTTCAAGCTAAGCAAAAAAGAACAAACCATCGACGTGGGCCACGTTCAAACAGATACAGATCATCACTCTGCTAGCACCAACCAACTGTCGGTACCTACCTACTATCAGTCTCCGCCGAAGCCCACTGAAAATGTTCATGCTGATGCTGGCTAGCTCGAATTGCCTCCGACCAGACTCGACTCGGTAGTATCGTTTGAAGCGCGATCGCGTCCACATTCCTCCTCATCGTCGTCCGGTGCAGTGTGGTTCGGACTTGACTGGTGGCAGTCGGACAGGTGGTTATTTTCGGGTGGAAGGAGTTTGCTTTTTTTTTTCGCGCGTTCAACGCATTCGCCAAAACGTGACATAAGTTCTAGTTCCCGACGACCGTGAATGTACACGTCGGTCGCTGTTTGTTGCCGATACTCGCATGTTGTTGTAAGTGTGTCACATTTCTGCTGAGATAGATCAAGGGTGGCTATCACTGATGCGGCTCAATTGGGCTTTATTGTCCGGTGAAAGATGCGGCTTTTGCTTTCAACTCGTAAAGTGAACTGTACCTCTCTGCTCTGTAACCGCGGTGAAGTGTATGAACTGTTTTTGAACTCGACAAAAGTGTCTTTGTTGTTGTTTTTTTTTCTACTGTACACATACCACCATTCAGGAAGGTGGATTATTGAAGCCTTCATCATTTTGTTTGCGTTGCTGCAACACGAACGGGTGCAATTACGATAAGTGGCGCGTTTTGAAACAATTTTATGTTCGTCTGGCAAAGATGGATCAATATGCACCTTTGCAATGCAATAATCTAAACAGTTGTTATCCCAATCATTACTGTTTCCTAAAAACAATAACGTCATTTTTCAGTTTAAAAAAAAATAGCATGTCACCTTCCTTTCCTCTGGAGCAAAAAGCGAGGGAAATTCCAGTGAGATAATAAAACATTGTTGTGCTCAGTTCATCTGTCTAGTTGGAGCGCGTGAGCACGTGGTTATCAACCTTTTTTTTTGTGTGACGACGATCATTGGATGGTAATTAACTTGCATGCGGTCTCTACACAGTGACTCTGATGGGCATCATGTGTTATGAGTGCGAGGGAATAGTAGTAAGCAATTCAATGGCTTACGCTAAGTGGGTTGGAATCCGAAAATATAAAGGGGACGACGGGGTGGACGGCCACCCTTTGCATTATTGGAACAGTCAACGTTTGAAAAAATAAAAATTATGTGGAGGTTAGTTCTGTGCGCTGCCGGCACTTTTTCACACGCCGCTAACGCCGAGGATTTTTAGTCGGCGCACCGCCGTGATTTTTTTTTTACTTTTTATTTGTTTCAAATTCAAAATAAATTACATTTCATTTTAACCTAGGTGCTCCAGTTACTACAGTAATTTACCAGCCTTAATTTTTTTTTATTTCCATTTCGTCAAGCCAGTGTAGACTACATACAATGATTATTACAATGTTTACTTACATACTATGCATTAATTCTATTCTGTTTTAGCTTAGTTTGTATTTGCTGCTTGGACATAGTGATGTCAATAGATCCGCAATGCAAATTATATAGGCGCATCATTCGATTGATTGGGCTATTTTTTGCATAGTTTGTTCTGTACGATGTTTCTGAAAATAAATTCCGTGTTCTAAGATATCGACAAGGTGTGTAAAAATTTAATTGTGCGAGAATTTCTGCCGAATCTATGCGCATTGAAATAATGTCGTTGATGAAGAAAAGCATTGCAAATTGGCGGCGCTCCTTAAGTGTTTGTATATTGATGAGCATGCAGCGCGCTTTATAAGATGGTAATGGAAATGCAGTCCAATTCAATTTACGTAAAGCATATAAAAGGTAGAGTCGGTGTATAATGAGTCACGCCAAGAGAAAAACAGTTGAACTCGCATCACGGTTTTCGAAAGATTCCCTTTCTTTTCACTTGGCAACAGAGGACTTTTACATCAACTTCAAATGACTTCTAGCGAGAAAAAAAAAATAGCGGCTGTAGTAAATCCTTATATCAGTAATTTTGTCAAATTATCTTATCAAAAAATAGTAGAAATTCTCATTACTGATCATTGCCAAACATATCCCATGACAATTTAATGCTCAGTGCGTAATTATGATAATTTTTCCAATTATATTTTATATTTTATTGCATTACCTTTCGTGGACCTTTCATAGCATCGTAATGTTTGTTTTCTTTGCACGATAGGTAGCCGGTTTGACAGTTCAATAGGTAGACTTGGCTTCACTCTTGGCGTGACTCATTACACACCGACTCTAATAAAAGGAATTGTTTTTGGACAGATTCTAAGCGTTCTTCGTGTATGGAAATGTATGGATTCCATACTAGGTGGCAGTATTCCAGAATTGGCCTTACATATGTGGTATATAATAGCTTAATAGTGTTTGGGTCTTCGAAATTATGACTGAACCTTTTGATGAAGCCTAGCATTCTGTTTGCTTTACTAATGATAGTATTATAATGTTCTATAAAAGTTAGTTTGGAGTCTAGGATTACACCTAGATCTCTTACAATTTTGCTTTTTTCTACTATTTGGTTGCCTAATGATATTTCAATATGCGGTGTTTCAATTTTTCTGCTAAATGCTATTGCAGTACATTTTTTTACGTTCAGTTGAAGTAGACTTTTACTACACCAGGTGTGGAATATATTGATTTCATTCTGGAATTCTTCTGCATCGCTAGAATTACTTATTTCCATAAAGAGCTTCATGTCGTCTGCAATTTTATTTTTTTAAGTATGTAGGAAATGTCGTTTATGTACAAAATAAAAAGAAGTGGGCCTAAATGAGAACCCTGGGGTACCCCAGAGGTGACTGAAATTGGTTCTGAAAGTTTATTTTGAAAGCGAACTATTTTTTTACGATGTGTTAGGTATGATTGAAGCCAATTCAAAAGTCCAGGCTCCATTCCTATTTTCTGCAATTTGAGGATTAATAATGGTATGTCGATGCGGTCAAATGCTTTACTGAAGTCGGTGTATAGCGCTTCAACGTGCTTGCCACTGTCCAACGCTTTAATAATGAAAGAAACATATTCTAGAAGATTAGAGGTAGTTGAGCGACCTTTAAAAAAGCCGTGCTGTTTACTTGTAATTAGATTTTTCACCTGCTGAAAAATATTGCCGTTTACGATTGATTCAAAAAGTTTTGGAATGCAAGAAATAATAGCAATTCCACGATAATTTCGAATGTCTGATTTTGCACCTGATTTGAAAATAGGTACCAAATAAGATGATTTCCAAATTTCAGGGAATTTTCCATTTTTCAGAGACATGTTGAAAAGACGCTCTAGAGGAAATGCGAGTTCTTCAGAAAGGTTTTTCAAAAATATGGGTGCGATGCCGTCAGGTCCAGACCCTTTCGACGCGTTTAAGTTTTTAAGTGCATTGAGGACTTCATGTTGAGAAAGTTGGTTGACAGAGATGTTTTTAGAAATTTCAGGAATGAATGAAAAGAAATCACGGTCACGATCTTCTTCGGAAAATGTGGTGTATACTTCTTGGAAGAAATTCGCAAAGAGATTGCAAATTTCAGAAGAATTCTCACCTACATTTGCATCCAAATTCATTCGCGAAGGAAAATTGCTGCTTTTTAATTTCGTGTTTACATAATTAAAAAAGTTCTTAGGACATGATTTGAATTCATTTTCGACTTTGCGGTTATAGTCCTCATATGCAGAGTTGATGGCTGTATTTAATTGGTTGCATAAGTTGTGGTAGTTTCGCAAATTGGTTTCAGTTTTTTCTTTTTTGTATAGTTTATGAGCTTTCTGTTTTTTATTCTTTACATTTTTCAGTTGTGGATTGAACCATGCGGGTAGTTTATTGTTTTGTGTTCGTCTTCTTTTTTTGATGGTACAGTTTCTAAAATTAGGCTTTGAAGAATTGAGTGAAATTTTTCTACTTCAGTATCGACATTTCCTTCAATACTTATTAAATTTTGCCAATTTATTGTACATAGTCTACGTTTGGCTTCTTCGTAATTTACTTTATGGTAATTGTTATGATATATAGCTAAGTGTTTTTACATTGTTCCTGTCTTGGCAATTCAGTATTTTAAACAGGTTTTTTAAACCTGCATGTCAGTATTACAATTGATATCTTAAAACTAAAAACTAAAACTAAATCTTATCTAAGTATAAAGGGAATTAATCGTTGCAATTGAGGATTGCAACGATTTTTGCCTGACATTATTATTTATTTTGTTGGACATTTGTTCTAAAGTCTCAACATTCGAAATTCTATGTACTTCGGTAGTACTGTACTAGGGAGGCAACTTCAAAATCATTTTCAGAACTTTGTTCTGAATCCTTTGAAGTGCTATTTTCCTGGTAGTGCAACAACAAGACCATATTGGCACAGCGTAAAGCATGGCCGGTCTAAAAACTTGTTTAAATATTAGAAGTTTATTCGTCAGGCAAAGTTTGGATTTCCTGTTTATAAGAGGATACAAACATTTTATGTATTTATTACATTTGGCTTGAATGCCCTCAATGTGATCTTTAAAAGTTAAGTTTTGGTCAAGTATTAATCCAAGATCATCAGCGAACAAAGATTTGTGGCAACCCTGAGGCAAATCAGGGAGGTCCGAAGTGAAAATGTTATACAATACAGACCCAAGAATGCTACCCTGAAGAACTCCTGCTCTAACAGGTAGTCGATTTGATTTGGAATTTTGATAGTTTACCTGCAGAGTTCTGTCAGTTAAATAATTTTGAACTAATTTCATAATATAAAGTGGAAAATTAAACTTTTTCAATTTAGCAATCAAACCTTCATGCCAAACACTGTCGAATGCTTTTTCTATGTCTAGAAGAGCAACTCCAGTTGAGTGGCCTTCAGATTTGTTTGAACGAATTAAATTGGTAACTCTTAAGAGTTGATGAGTAGTTGAATGTCCATGGCGAAATCCAAACTGCTCATCTGCAAAAATTGAGTTCGTATTGATGTGAAGCATCATTCTATTCAAAATTATCTTTTCAAAAAGTTTACTTATTGAAGGAAGCAAACTTATTGGACGGTAGCTAGAAGCTTCTGCTGGATTTTTATCCGGCTTCAAAATTGGAACAACTTTAGCATTTTTCCATTTATCAGGAAAGTATGCCAAATGGAAACATCTGTTAAATAATTTTACCAAGAAAGACAAGGTACTCTCTGGGAGTTTTTTGATGAGGATATAGAAAATTCCATCATCACCTGGAGCTTTCAAATTTTGAAAAATTTTAGTTATAGACCTTACTTCGTCCAAATCAGTCCCCCAGGAATCATCAAAAATATTTTCCCGAGAGAAAATATTCAGAAAATCCCGAGCAACCTGATTCTCAATAGGACTAGTAAGACCCAAACTGAAATTATGGGAACTCTCGAATTGCTTAGCAAGTTTCTGAGCTTTTTCCAAATTTGTGATCAAAATTTTA